AAGTAGTTCCGTTCACCCTTCCATCGAGCTTAATCCGTCGGCCGTTTGTTAACGGCCTACAAAAAGGCGATCTCGCAGAGAGAGATAAGTATCTGGCGCGCGCGACCCTTACATATCTCTGAATAAAATTGCATTAATTGCGTCTATTTAAAAAGGAGCGGCCTTTGTAGATACGTTCGGGCCGGGCTAACGAGCGATATGAAAAGGAAATCGATAGAGCGGTACATGATACACCGAAAGAGGAACGAACGTAATATTATGCAACCTGGTTGTAACGCCGCTATTATACGCTGTAGACGATACGCTGTAGTATTGGAGCCGTTAGAATCTCTAATATGAGCGATGATTCATTTATCTTCTTTTTTTCTCGCGGCGTCTCCAGAACGTCCTAGAGATCCAGATCTCAATGCTGAAACGTAAATTAGCGTTATGTTGCGCAATGTTTACGTCTCCGATTGTCGCCGGCGATCTCGCATTAGCATCGAAATTGCCTATTCTCACGCTATCACGTCGTACTATGCATGAGTCAACCCGGCTTCTCGTGTTTGCAAACACTCGTTGTGCGTCACGTGACTGGCTGGGCTCCGGCCGCGCCTCAAAATCTCGTAAAAATAACTGTCGTTCGCCTCAAGAGCTGATAAAAAATCCACGACGGAGTGAATACAAGGTCACTCGGTTTGCCTGCGCAGTACGGAAATCCCACCACGGACGCTTCTGGCCGAAGAAACTGCGTTTCAGCGTTTCGACGTGGCGCACGCATGCTGAATTTCGCAATGTTGGATCACGTCTCCCCCCCTGCCTCGCTTTACATTTAGCATTCGTTTACAAAATATTGTCGAAAGCAATCTTCTAATCTATTCACCAACGATAACGCGCTTGTTTACAGCGATAACAGAGCCCTAATTATCGCACGCTACAAACAGAATGTGATTTTCGTTACGTTTGGAGCGCCTCCTCCGGCCGACATAAATCAATCATCTTGCGGAACTCCTTCCGGAGTAATAATTTGGATAGATATCAGGAGGAGTCAAGGTTGTCACGCAGTTCGCATCTACAAAACAGATCTTCTATGTAGTAACTTCGCTAAGCAAAACTTTGCTACGCAATAGGCTCCAACGTGATCGTTTTTTTATCAGATCCTCTGGCAAGTTCTTCTTTTGTGATACGAATTGACGCACCTACCAGCCGCACGAAATCAAGGCGGCCTAAGAGAAGGTTACGCTACGTTATACAAGCGGTATTATATCACACACCGGTTGGCCGTGCTAATGGCAGCGGAGGCGGCGGGGAACGGCGACGTCTCTCTTGTGTGGGTTGGGTGATGGTGGGGCCCCCCGGTCGTGAGCTGAGCGGACGTGCCAGAAATCCCGTCGTCCCTGCCGGCCGGGACCGATCAATACTCGGTATTTGCTAATTTCTCGGCTATGGCGTGGAAAAAACGTATCGACCGACGTACCGATTGACAGATCTCGTCACGACGATGCCGATTATCGTGGCTGCAAGCGGGACCGAGTACCACCAGGGCCCTAAACGATCGATCGCGTAGAATTGCGCATTATGTGCCGTGGCGGAGTGAGGACGCGGACGAGAGATCTCGAAGCTTCCTCCGTCGCGTTGCGGCGACGCGGCGCGTACCTATAAAAGGCGGCCGGCCGGCCAGCCGCGGCGCATTCGTAAACAAACCCTGGTTCAGTTCGGACGTTGCGAACACCCGAAGACCCCCTTCACCCTCCACCATCAGTGTAACACACTTCGGCTTCTTACTTCGTCGAGACCGCCGGCACAGGAAAATGTAGGCGAGCGGGCACCAGGTGCGGAGCGCGACAGTTTACCGTAGGTATTTCCTGAGATTTTTGGTTTTTTCCTGCTTTTATTTCTAATATGTGACACTTTGGCCTATTTATCTTAGAGAAGTGTATTACGTTTCATTACAGTAGCATTTATTATAGCAAAGATAATTGAGGTCACGATTGGTCTCAATTATCTTTTGAGATGTGTGAAGATTTAAAGGAGAATTGTTGAAAATAATTTATTTGTTGTATCTATTGATGATATAAGAGCGATTGGAAAATAATAATATCAAGGAAGATAAACATACAGACTATACTGATGCTTTGATATTCTTCTTTTTAATTAAATTTTCCAATTGTACACACATGTAAATTATATTATTTGTTATTAGATTTCTCACATTAACATCTGTTAATTTTAAGTGAAGTTTAACTATTTATCTCTACTATTTTCTATCAAAATTAAAATTGAAAAGAAATAAAGAAAGAGAAAATTGCTTAAACTAAAGTTAACTCATGTTAATGAAGCTACCTAATGACTCCAATAATTTGATTGGAAATCGCAAACAAGCAAATAAACTTTGTGCGATTCTAAAATATCATAATTTATATAGCGTAACAAAATATAATTATATAATACGTACTAAAAAAATACATCCTTGAAAGTTAGATATTAAAGAAATATGGTACGATTTTGTCATTATATAAGACTGTTCCGCTATATCCAGAATTGAGAAAGTAAAAGAATGAAATGAATGTCGGAATGAAAGTTTCATGCAGTAAATTCTTTAATTTGTAGTGGTGTCCGTAGTAGTAGTAGTTGTAACAGTTGTTTCGACGGGAACCGGCTTGGCAGCTGGTACTCCCGTTTGAATAACGTTGATGACTCTTTCCGTGCCAGCCGGCGTCACGTTCTGAAAACGTGAACAGAAATAACGTTAGACGTTACCCGAATGAACAAATTATGAGAGTTATGTGTTTGTATCTTTTTTAGTGCACCCTACGGGGTCGGTGCTTGAACAATCCGTACGCGACGATAACAGCCGTGATTAGAATTTGAAATTCCTTCACACTTTGAACAAATATGAGAAGAGAACCTCGAGATATAGGTAAGCGTACAAGGTTTAAACACGATATGTTAAGCATATGCGATATGCGATATGCATTAAGTCAATAGGATTATGTCTATGAACAGTGAATTGCAAGAGTTAAAAAATATGATGATTAAGGCCAGCGTGCAAAGAATGTGTAGTTGTGAATAACATATACGACTTTGAATTATTCCTAAGTCTATAATAATGGAGAAAGATCTTTGACATGTAATAATGTAAAGCTTTTCATACATTAAAATCATCGCAAAAGAAAGAATCAATAAATTGACAATCAGAAATTTAAATGTAATTAATTAAAAACAATTTTATGTACAATCAAATTTACTTTAGTGATATTTGATAGCGCCTAAAAAAAATAAGAAAGACGATATAGATGAGCAAAGAAATTATCAATAAATTATTTTATCAATAATGATGAATTGATCGATATCGATCGATATTGATCGATATTAATAAATTGATAAATCACATAATAGTTAAAAATATATCATGTTTGATGAGGAATAATCGATTGTCAGATAAGTGTCATCGATTTTAACAGAATCCAATTTTTGAAACTCATTGAAAATGCAATTGTTTTTCTCTTATCCTTTATATCCGAGGCTAAGTGTCGAGATGAGAACACTATTCAATGTGTTATCATCGTCTCTTCGCGATAGCTTGAGCTTCATTTTTACATAGTATCACCGAGTTTCAGGAACTTCCTTTAAAATCGACGCACGCTCATATAACGATAACGCACAAAGCTGCGTTCTGAATTTCGTTAACGAAACATATTCTGTTTTATAGTTTAGAGCAGACTCGTAGTGTTTGATCCAAAACCGTCGGCACCATCTGCCTCCTCTAATACTGCACACTGAGGCGCAGGGAACATTGGGAACATTGGAAAAGCAAAAGTCAAATATGTAACGTAAGCCGCATCAGCTATAACAAAGACGAAAGAGGGGAGAAAGAGCGAAAAAGCGAGAGAAGAGGATAGAGGGGGAGAGAGAGAGGAGCTCCGCTCGTTCGCGGTCAAGTCCGCGAATGAGGGAGCAGGGCGGATGTTAACGCGGATTGTCTCGGCTCGATCGAGCGTACCTTTTTGGGCGCCGTGATAGTTAGTACACCATCCGAGGAGAGGGTCGAGGTGACGTTGGCGAGGTCGTGAGATGGGGGCAGGACGTATCTGCGTACGAAGTGTCTGCTGATGTAGCCGTGTTCGTCTTGCTTCTCCTCGTGCTTGGCCTCGACAATAACGTGATTGTCGACCGTTTTCACCGTAATCTCGTCCGGTGAGAATTGTTGCACATCCAGTATCACCTGCGGATCAAAGAGCGCGGACCCGCGGGGAGGCCCCGGAAATCATTAGCTTGCTCAGGACTCTCTCTCTTCCGCCATCGAGGACAGAAGTCTCGCATTCTTCCGTGAGCGATTGTAAACAGCCGCCATGCATCCATAAAGCGAAAGTTAAGTATCGATCACTTCCGAACGAGCTTACTCCGGAAATAATGGTCGATTTCTGAGCAATAAAACCCATCATTTTTTTCTTGTATCGCGCGATTACGCGTCTTTACTTTGATGTTTCTTATTCTTGGCTACTTGAATTTTCATCGGAAGAGAATGTCGAACATCTAAATTTTAAATCATACTCTGAAACAACATACATTAGGCGAGCTATCTTACAATAATTTTGGCTTTATCATCTGGAGCAACGCTTCATTCGATTTCAAATTCTCATTTCGCTATCGCGTTTAAAAAGCCGCTGATCAAACCTGGTTGTTGGAGTTTCCGCAACGAGCGAGGGAAATGACAATTCGGCCAATATTCTAAATCCTGTTTATCAGATAAGTGCGTCGTGAAACTACCGTTTTCCTTTTCGTCTAGATTCTCTCATATGTAATCTTTCGCATTTTCTTTTAGATTATCGCGCACTATGGTACAAAAATAAACCGGGAAGATGTAGTTGCCGGGCGCACCTACTTGTGTGAAATTGTTCCTTTTTTTTTGGACGAACAAAAAAACGAGCATACATACAAGTAGGTGATTCTTCTTTATTTATAGCGAGTGCGCGGTCGTGCAGGGAGCGATTGGTTGCGATCGCGGTGGTTAGTCCCTTTGTGGACGGCGTTTTTGAAGTATAGGTACGAGGTACAGATCACAAAAAACAAGAACAAAAAAAACCAAAAAAAATAAATAAAACAGATAAAGAGAAGATAAATACATTTTTGACATAGAGTGAGGAAGCTCTAACAACCGATGATAGTAAGGCAGGCGTATTTCCGAGTTTCTCCGGGTGATCCTGCGTGATCCTGGAACTCGGTTGCGAACGCGAGCGCGAAAATATTAGCGGAGGATAATTGGCTGTGCATTTTGAAAATAGTACCAAAAAAAAAAAACAAGAAAGAGAGAAGAACAAAAAAGTAGTTTGCGGAGCGGTTGCTCCGCAAACGGGTCGACTCGAGTGCTGCGCGCAGAGCGACATATATTTGTACAAATAAAGAGATAAAAAAAGTTCCGTGTAAGAAGAAAAAAAGCATAAAAGTCATTTTGTACGATTCTATTGTTGTGGGTATTCAAAAAGCATTTATTTTTGTATAGAGATTATAAACGGGGAGGGTCGAGGCCCGCGGGTCTCGTGCGCGTGAGCGACGCACCCTTTGAGATGGGGGTACGTCGATGCTCATTGGGACAACACGTACGCCGCACGCGAGTCTCGGTTCTTCCATTACAACAAGACTGACTAAGCGCGACGCGATATATCCACTCTTTCGGTTGCATATTTTATTCCGTGGCTGCTGCGCGCGATTTCTCGCGTGCGACTTTGAACGAAAATCATCAAGAACTTACGAATGAAATAGGTAGTCACCTCGGATCTGCGGCAGGCAAACCGTGCGCGCGATTGCGCGAGAAAAAAATATCGCAGAAAGAGAAGGAAGAACGGAAGTAATAAAAAAGCACGTATACACACACACACACACACACATACACACACACACATATACACATTATACAAAAAAATTAAAGAAGGGGGAGGTAAAACGAGAACTGTGGTAAAACTGTGATTTCATAGAGATTCCGAAACCGGCGTGACTGACCGGAGATCGTGCAGCACGATCGTCCTCTTTTGATACGCGTACCTTTCCTAGAGCATTTCCGGCAAACGAGAAGGATAACTGGTTCCTCTAGACTGCAGTCTTAACATCGTTACACAACCAGATTATAATTCAAAATAGGGCGATTAGATGAACTACCACGTTGTAGGAGAAGCTAGATTTTCTCGGCACAAAAGAGATCATTGTAAAAGGGGACAGATAATGCCGTAAATGTTTCCCTGACGAACATCTGATTATTCGAATTTCTGCAGCGAACAGAAAAAAAAAAGAGAAAGAAAAGACAAAAATAGTTTATTCGTAAAAGAGAGAAAAAAAAGAAGGAAAAGTCGTCTCTCCAATCCGATTTACTCGCTCTCCCTCCTCCAGAGGGAGAGTGCAACATTCCCCTACCCCCCCGAAAATAATTCCGATCGAACACTCGTTTCACCATCCCGACCCGTTGAAGACCGAGCTGCCGCCCTTCCGGTCGACTTAGCATCGCGTGCGCGACCGTGTGATTATGAGAGCGTGATTAAAACGTGTAATGCATAATGTGTGCATAATGACGAGAAAGACAGCGGCAGCTGCAGCAGATGCAGCCATCAGTTTTTCGGGCCTTCTGGTGTTCCGGATTTTTTCCGTTCGTTGCTTTTAGTCACCCTTAGCGAGCGTTGAATTTCTCCCTTGCGTTTGATTTCATCCCCTATTCGTTAGGGGTTTTATTTTCTTTTCATTTTAATGGCCGCGCGCGGCTGATTCGCCTCCTTTGGAAGTAACGTTCGAGTCCACCGTAGATAAAAACCTACCCTTGAATTTTTAGCCGTTAATCCTCTTTTCTCCTCCCTTCCCTCCCCTTCCTTTCTCCTTCCCTTTCTCCCCCTCCTTCCTTTCCTTTTTATTTTTTTTTCTTACGAATGCGCCCTTTCCTTTCCTCTCACATCACACCCGTCATCTTCCGTCATTTATCTCCCGCGACTTTTCTAGATTTCGAAATCTAATTACGATTCGTCGCTACTCGTTTTTTCGCTAGAAGATATCGTAAAAGAAAGTATCTTCCCCTATAATACACTTATTACATATTGTACTTTTTTTCGTAGGATATATATCACTCGAGGCTCTTTGTACTTGACACAAAATTCGTTTTGCGTCTAATACAAATCGCGCTCAAGCTACTAATACCAAAATAAGGAGCAAAGAACCGTTAAAGAATTTAAGTCCTGTCTTAATTTAAGTTATACCACATAATTAGTCACATTCCGTTCGCTGTTGCATCATCGAACCTATTCGAAGAGATAAATATAATTGTAACGCATTGCGAGGCAGATCGATTTGATGAATTCATGAATTTAGAACTGTCAGAAGAATTGTGTTACATTAACAAAAAATTAATATAATTTTATAAAAATTAATATAATTTGATGAACCGAAAACATTTATAAATTTATGAGTGTGGCTGGAAGCTTTTAGGTAAACTTGCATTTTTGTATTTTGTAATAGCTGCAAGATAAGAAAGAGAGAGCATTATTTTAGACCATAAATAAGTTGTTGTTGCATAACCGGTTATATTCCATTGGCTGTTATATCATCGAGCCACCAAAGATAAATAAGATAAATTACAGCACAACTGACGGCTTTTGCGAATTCATGATTTTAGACGCGTTGCGACACGCTTCCGTGGCGAGTAATGACGTATCTGCAGCTTGCGTACAACATAAATTTAAAACTGTTAGGCGACTCAGATAACTAATGTAAATTAATACGATCGATATTACTGTCGAGTTACTAAGTTACTAGATCTGAAGTGTGATAGATTGAACGATCTTGAGGATCGAGAAGTAGAACGATCTCGCGGACGTTTTATCCAGTGCGAAATTAAAACGAAAGATTCAACGACATATATATAACTAAAAGGGACAATAGTGCCCTTTATCCTCTATTAAAATCTTTTAGAGAGAGAGAGCTCTTTGCGCAAATTAAAGCGATCTAAATTCAATTCGCGGTACTCAAATACAACAATATGACGGCAAGTCTTTCAATCGATTCTTGATTCTCGACTTCGTCTATATGTTTTAGGATAACTGCAGCGTAAGATAATCGGTATATTCCGCAGCGCGTGTTAATCTTAAGCATTAATCGCGTGCATATCATCCCGAATCGCGAGCCTCGTGTGGACATTTTTGGCCTGCATTCCGAAAGCCGTAGCTTCCTGACCTGATCGAAGAGTCGCGATCGGCTATCGGCTTTAATTTTCCCGTAATCCGAGAAAACCGAGATTAGGACAGCCGCGAATAGTTCCACGGCATTACACACAACGACTAAAAATACACGAAAAACCCGTCTGAAAATAGCACGTTGCATCAATCACTCGCGTTCGGGACATTCTGTGGTAATTTTAACGCGCGTTGCTTCTCGTTTACGCTTTCTTGCCGCACTACGAAAATCAAATCGGACGAACGCACATTCGTCAGGAAAGTACTATCGATAATTTCTCTATTTTGTGCCATTTTGAGATTAGGAGGCTTACCTCCGGAAGTTTTTTTAAGAGTACACGCGGTCAAAGAGGCTTGCAATAATTATAAGCAATTTAGCATAACGACATTCTCCTGAGACGAAAGTAGCGGTGAAATTCGAATTGCAAGGGATCAATTGAGAAGTGAAATTTTATCATCGATTTGAGTTATCGATTATTATTATTGAGTCGATTATTATACAAGTGAAACATTGAATTTTTTCTGAATTTTTATTAGATCTTAATAATTTTCGGCCAATTCCTATCTTTCGCAGGATCCTGGCTAATTTTGTCCAGGATCCTGCGAAAGATGGAATTGGACCGTTGTTGAGCAGTACTTCCGCCCTAATAATCTTAAGTAAGCTTTTAACACTTTCCCGACAAAAGCTCCATTATTAACAATTTCATCAAGAAAGATTTGACTAAAATCAATTAAATCTAACGTCTCGAATTGAGAACACGAAATAGGATATATGAATTATAGTTGCAGAATGAAAAATTAATTTCGACAAAAACATACAATATTTTGAATTCAATAAATCCGTCTGATCGTAAGACTTGCACGCAACTAGGCTAAAACGATGTGATGATTAAATTCGCGTTTTAGACAGACAATCGTGGATATGTCATAATGATTAAAATAATGGCAAATAAAGTACTGGCAAAAGCAAAATCAGCATCTTTAGAATGCAAAGCTTGTAATTTCAGACCATTTTTCATGTTTCACCATGAATACAAAGATGAATAGTTTGATGAAATAATAAAGATGACTTCACAGTGTAACGTCATGTAACATGGACGAGCATTATTGCGAAAAGAAACATATTTTCTGACTATCCGATCTAAAAGTATATACAAAACTATCTCTCATTACTATTTTTCGATACCATAAACCGAGTATATCTCTAGCAATATCTAACAAATGGGAACAAACAATAAGCATAGAAACAGAAACGCTAATTCAAATATTGAAGAAAACAAAAATGATAATATATTCTTTTAAAGAAAATTGCATATTACAATAAAAATAAAATATAAGATTATGATTTCTTTTTTTTTATAAAATATTTGTATATCAGTATTAACAAAATTTTAATGAAATAAAATCATTTTTCAGTAAAATAATTTGAAACAATTGATTGAAATTAATCTACGAAATTAGAAATCAAATAGAAATGAAAGATGTTTTAACATTTCGATGCTCCGTTAAATGGAAAATAAATAGATCAAAAACTTTATCCTGTTTGCAAAAATTCACATTCTTAGACTCAATTCAAAATCATAGAGATCCACAAAAAGCAGAAGAAAGTTCACGAAAGCTCACGAAGTTTACCTTCGATCGCACCACGTTTCGTTTTATTGCTATTCGATACTGTGCGAAAACAATTCTACATATACCAACCTGGAAATTATCTTTGGCCAGCTGGATCGTGCTGGAGCCACTCGAGCTTTGACGCGTCACGTTCCCCCATGGTCGGTAGTACGTATTCCCGAAGATCGAGCGTGGCCGATCGATACCAAAACCGGAGAGACTTGAGATCAGATCATCTCGGTGAAGGCCAGTACCGAAGTGCTGGTCCAGAAGTCGCGAGACGGGACGATCGAAGTCATCCCACCAATTGCGGAAGACTAGGGGCACAATCGACATCTGCGCGAACATTAAGCAGGTGTAACAATCGGCCCCACGAGAACGGATCGGCGTTTTTCGCCTTGGATAAAAATATAAATAAAAAAACAAAAAAACAAAAAAAAGAGAGGAGGATCTTCAAGGACAAAACACAAAGGAGAATGAGTGAAAACGAAAGTAGAGAGAGAGAGAGGAGTGAAAGAACATAATTAAATAATAACCGCAGCATATACACGTTAATTCTTAAGCTTTAAGCTAAGCTGCACGAAGGCGATAACTCGTTAGTTCTCTCGTTAGTATTACATTACTGATCGGACGATATTTAAGGATTATATATTTAAGGATTAAGGGTATAAATTAATCTCGATATTAATCGTAAATACTATTCAATTACTACGAGCACTCATACAGGCATTAAACATGATCCTAGCGTACGAATACACAACGCGATCCTACAGACGGCTGAAGCACTTCGTAGTTACAAAAGACTTATCGAAATCACCGAGTCATCCATTCCGGAATGGGTGAATTTTGAGATGCCGACGAGACATGCATTTATATCATAAAGGCCGTAATAAGCGAGTTCCCAGCTCTCTCGACTCGTCATACGTCGTTACGTAATCTACGCTATTCATCGATAGTTTTTAGGGGAACGTAAGAGCGCGTTAGCCGACTTCGCGTTAACTTCACACATGCTGTACGTATCGAGTACCTTCCCTTTGTTAAAATAAGACCAAAAGGACCTCTTTCACTATCATTTGACTTTTCTCTTCGACAAACCGGCTATAGCTGAAGGAAGGTATTGACGCATCTTGCAATAGGTATTAATGCATTACGCAACGTACATCATTGTGTGTCGTACAATTTGCAACTTTCCTCACGTGACGATAGAGAAGCTTCGCGTAAGCAGAATCGAAAATAATAATTCGGTAAATCATATCATCCAATTTGTGTAATACCCACGAATTGGATGAAACGATTTGACGCGAAGTAGTGCAAGCGCGAGGTAGGTCGGGTGAAGGGAGATTGTCAGTAGATCGGTTTAATAAATCGGTTTTTCCATTCACGACGGATACTCAAAGAACAAAACAAAAATTCTATAAAGTTTAGGCTAAGTCGTAAAATATAAGCGGCAACACGAAACCGCAACAAGCTAGTCCGTTCGCGTAAGATCACGCAGGATAGTTAGATGAAAGCTCAATCTCGGGTCGATGGATCGATGGAAATCGACCAGTCCAGGCGATGGAACAACGATATCGATCAATCAGACAGCGCAGGGACTAGTTTAAAGTCACCATTCTCCGCAACTGCTAAGCCTGGTACCTCATACACGCGCGGTTTAAACACGCGCGATTTACCGAATACGCAATATCGACGATTGAAAAAAAAAAAAGAACAAAAAACGCACACCTTGCAAGTGACTTTCGCGGTAAAATTCATCACAGGTCACTCTTCCCTTCTTCCATAATTAAAGACGCGTGCTTTCAGCGACTGCTCTCAATGATAATTGGGTGGGTGAATCTGACATTTTTACGAGTTCTAACATACGGACGGTTAGCTTAAGATTACTTCGCACAAAACGTACTGATAAGTTTACATTCTGATCTAAAACGAGATAAAGAGAAAGACGGATGCAATTAGCGAATATTACTCCTAAGGTTAATCCTAAGGTTAATCCTAATCGATACATTATAAGCTTCTTAAAGTCGCTAAGCTCGTAATAACATCAAGAACTTATTAGTGAGCTAGTGAGGAAAATAAAAGGTAAAATCATGAAATCTCGCGCACATACGTAGAAACACATGGGAATAGCGTACGTGCTACCGTACTTTGCGTGGAACGTGAAGATCCGATCGATCGCTCGAAGATTCCAATCAAACGATTCCAGTATCGCCCGAGACGACTTCTGATTCGGCGCGAGTCGCGGATTCATCTTAAATAGAGCCGCGGTGCCGAGGAGGTGTTCCTACAATGTCACGTGACGTTTCACTGACCATCCTGTCTAAGAATACACCGACTTTGAATACAGACGAGGTTTCGGTTTGAGGAATTCGGCCGCGCCGTCCTTTCTCGCGGCGGCATTCTTGCTATTTCGTGAGACTACGATCGTTACATTTCTGGCTGGTTCGCGGAGTGCCCTGATTAGTAGACGATTTGATGCACTTTCCTCATCAGCGCGTCACTCCAGACAGTCATTTTTAAAAAACGGATCGGAAATCCGAATGGAGGATTGGAACGGATGATCTTGTCGTCGCGACGCGTTACATCTTCTGTATCATATAGCGAGAACTGTGTCTTACCATCCGCACCGCATCAAAACGAGATTGTTTCTCTGAAGCTTCTCTTGCTCCGGCCGTACTTTGCTGAGCAAATCACCGAAAATAGAGAAATCAAATCAACCGAAATAAAGACTGCGCGTCTTCGATCAGTCGCGAACATCGATTTAAGTGTCTTATTCAAAAATCATAGCAAGCATCCAGGATATACAACAGGATTGCCGCGAATCAAAAAAACGAAATCAAGCATAGGTGAACTTTTGACTTCACGAGCGAGTTATATTATATTGACAAGAGTTACCAGAAGTTTTTGGGAAACACGGAGAGTGCTAAGAGCGCATTCTTAACGCAGGCTACGCCTACACGCGTGTGTTATTTTAGGATATTGGATTATACGCATTTTTCTTAGAATACGTTTCCTTCGATTTGCTTCTTTCTCGTTTAATATTACATAAGGAGAATTATGACTAACGCCGATGTCAGCTTTGTGCGACAATTAACGACGTAGACTTTCGTCGAGTCGTCAGCACCCTTGAATTGTTTGAGTCTAATTATTTTGGCCGCGATGATCGCACGAGCACGATTTTATCCGCACAAAAGATAGAGGTCTTAGTCTGATCAATGTTGCGTGCGTCGCTTTGCGCGAGGTGAATTTTAGCAGCAATGCACCACAATCGATAATGACGGCATCGGATTATATAGCTTGATATAAAAGTTTTCTTATTGGGGATAAGTGTGTCATCTACAATAAAACAATAACGAAAAATGACGTGCACGTCATAAAAAAAAAAAAGATTAAAGCTTAGGTATATGTGTATGACTATATATAATGCTAAGAATAATTACTTAGGTAAATACGTCCCTATTATTAGGCTACTTCGTTACCCCGCGAATTCCATCTACTAGCGGCAAGTGCTAATAAAACAATCTTGAAATAGCTCCCGATTCACGTTTCGTCTAAAAATACGCTACTTGTCAGCAACAACTTGTGAGCAAACACATTTGCATTTCTGTAAGATGAATAAACTTCAATTTCGCAACCTACAAAAAGAAGATGTATCTGCGACGTTCAAGCTGGATAACCATTATCGAAATTTCTCACCGACCAAAAGCGAAAAATAGTTTTAGGATTTTGGAAACAAACGGTTATCGACATGGCAGATTCTGATTTTTGGCAGAACCGAAATTATTCTATTCGATTATAATAAAAGATATAGATCTGAAAAAAGAGAGAGCTAGGCAAATTCCATTTTAGATTCCGTCAACGCACTTGTGGCAAGTATACCGAAAACGCGAGTAATTTAATGTTAAGCATAACACCTAGATCTTCCGACGAATAATACAGCGAGGCATTATAGTAGTAACGATAAGTAATTAAGTTACTTTATGTCTGCCAATCGCGCGATGCTAATGATCGTGCGTTGGCATTCGTTGCACCAAACATCACGGAACAATAATAATTAATCGATAATTTCTAGCAGGAGTTTTACCTTAAGGGTTTCTTGTCTTTATCTTCACCTCTACTCCTAGATATTATCATGAAGTACTCCGTGTTTACGTGTCATACTTTCAATAAACTCTAAAAATGACTCGATACTCTGATTGTCTCTAGAGATAAAAATTAAATGTCTCGTTAACTGAATAAAAATACTGGATAAAACGGCCATGATCATTCGTGTGTCCCGTAGAGAATATTATGATGTAAAGCATATACTGTAAGCATATGTCAGCATACGTAAGAGTCTTTACGATGAATGTGACTTAGTAGTCATCCGTTAGGTTGATACTTGTAACTCGATGGGCTATTGATGTTATTATTCCTTTCAGTTTGTAACACGCATAAATGTAATTGTCATTCTTAGATGCAACAACGTTACATCAGTTTTAGATTGAGAAAGCGAATGCGTATTTTCTGTAATAACGAAAAAAAAAAAAACAAGAATGAAAAGAAGAATGAAAAATTTGTAATTTGCATAATTGAGAGATTATATACTCTGTTGATAAAAATCACGCAAAATTTCATCTCGATACGGCTTACACTTTATACCTGATTTTGTTTAATTCTGTATTCATGCAGCGCATAGAAATAGGCCCTACGCCATTTCTCGGCTGAAAGAAACAATAAAGTGAAATCCGACACACATAAGAGTGCGAGTGTTTTCTTTCAACTTAAATAATACCAATCCTTCCAAACAGTAGTTACATTACCAAAACTAAACTAAACAAAATTAAGTGAGGAATTAAATTCTGGCTATAATGAAAGTCAGAAATAATTCAAATGCAATATCCTTATTTATTCTCAGATACACAATTTAATGTCTAATACGTGTAAACACAAAAGACTTCGTTCGCAAATAACATAGTCACCGGAGCTACATACGTAAAGGTATTTCTTAATTCATACTATAAGTAATTTTAATAATATGCATCACGTGTTTAAAATAGTAATACGGTGAGTGTCATTTGAGGGGAATGGAGTTATGTATAAATAATGAGAATGCTAATGGCCCGCGATCAACGCAACAAATTACATGTATTTTTTTAAAAACGACTATTTTCTTAGGATGAACGATGTCGTTGTACTACTCTTAAATACATAAATATTATACACGTTCTTTACGATAATCGCAGTGTAAATATTACATAACGAGGCACAAAACGAAGTGAGACGCGCTTCTCAAGCAATCACGGTATTTGTATTTCGGGATGTTGTTGTTGTAGTTTCTCGACGTCTTGCAAAGTAGATATACCTTGTTCCTGTAAGACATATAATTCAAGAGAAAATACGTCGGTGAATAAACTTTAAATTATACATTATTAATATTAAAAATATTTCAATATTTAAATATTTGATGTTCCTTTGTCTTCAAATCAGAATAATAATACTACGGAATTAATGAATACTATTACATAACTTCATAGCATGCATTTTGCATTAACTATTTTATAATAAAATTGTTAATTAGATTGAAACCGATGTCTTACATTATACTCTTTCCACTTTTCGTAATTGTGCCGCATATAGCCCACTATTTCCGGCATGTCAATGAACACTGTGAAAACGGAAAATAATACAATTATAACACAGTTTGAATATTTTAACACAGATTTTTAACACGGTTTTTAAAACAAAAGAACGAACCATCCCAAGCTTCGATCATGTCATTGATGATATAATCGACAAAACCGATTTGCGATTTCGGTATCGAGCACGTCAGTCTATCGAACATAGGCATTATAACTGGCATTTTCAACTTTTTCTCTTCGTCAGTCTAAAAATTATTAACAAATATTTTAATGCAACAGCAATGAATTGTCTTCTCTGCAATAAATGAAATTAGTTGGTAATTATGAAAATGTTTACCTGATTAAAGTATTCCTCCGCGATTCGTCTCGCCCATTCGACGCAACATTTTAATGGCCGGGTTGGATTAGATACATCCGCGCATTTGATCATCATTCTTTTAATTAATATTACGTTATCGGGCTGTAGCACCACGGACATGTCCAGAGAATCTGAATAAGTCTACGAATTTTTTAGAAAGATTTTGAATTAAATTTTTTTCCTCATTATTATAATAATTTAAAACATTTTTATGATAAATTTACATAGATTCATTAGCCATTAAAATTAATTGCTATACAAGTAAAAATTAATTTATTTTCAAAGTAATTTTTAAGATATTTAAAGTTTAAATTTATTTTTAATGTATTTATTTTTGCGATTGGAAAATTATTAAAGAATGCAATTAGATTTCTTTTAAATATATTATTGATTATTATGACTATCAATGGAGAAGATAGTAATGAGTGTAATAATGTATCATAAATTTTAATTTATATAGTTCGAAGTTAGTAATTATAATTAATTTGAAGTGCAATTATTGATAATTTTAATATAAAAGTAACATACATTACCTCTTGACCTTCACCAATTCTCGCGCTACAAACATTCATGAACTTCGCCAAGTGCTCGAAGTGCTTCGTCATTTCGGTCGCCAGAATCATGTCAATGACATTTTGTCGTAACAGTTTGTACGCGTCTCGTTCCAGATTCTAAAGCAGACGTTTAATCCGATATTACACATTCGGTTTATTCTACACATTGATCTTCAAATTCACGATCCAAAATACAATCACACATCCAAAATACATAGAAAGAAACTTACTTTGAAGATATTTACACTGTCGTCGGAAAGCGATAGTTTAAATGTTAAGGCTGCGTGATGCGATTCGAGAACTGACAGATCATTGTAGAGTATTGCCAAACGATTGTTAGCATTGCAAAGAAATTGACTGGAAAAAGATTTTAATTCAAGACTGTACTATTAACACAATTAATTCTAAATTTAAATATTAACAAATGAAAATCAATTCTTTTTAAATCTCTAAAAAATTATTAAAAAATCAGAAAGATTCTAACTTTTTTTATTCTTTTTTTTCGCATGTTTTTATATAAAATTAAATATATTCGTATAAAAATAACCATAATTGAAAAATATATTTTTGTTAATGTATTTTGCGTTATCTGTCGATATTAAAAGACTCACCTGGATCTCCCAGGATGATCAATATCATGCGCAGCAGCGGCGACCAAAGTAGCAACTTCATCTAAAGGTTCTAAAATTGCTTTGAGCTTCTTTGATTGCATAAATCTCGCAGTTGCTTGCAAGACATCGGCGGCATGTGTTGAATTATGATAACTATTCTCCGCGTTGTAATTATGCTCGATAATGGCTAACCAGTTTTGTAATGTTCTCTCATCACAATGTAATATAGTGGGTACTTGATATAAATTCATGATCGTTAATCCCAGAAAAACAAGTGGCCTGTAATATTCAAACGCGAATAATTTAAGCACTATACACTTATCACGTATAAGCAAAGATGTAAAAATATATCTGAAATGACATCTGTTTTATAATTAATAATTATAAAATTGTTGTAATGTACGTCTGTTTTATAATTAGTAATTATAAAATTCTTATGTTGCACAATATTGCGTTAATAAATTGTGTGATTCACCTTTTCTCCGTCAAAACTTCAAGCTTGAATATTTCGAAATCCCAATCAAGGCTTTTGTCTAATATCTCTGTGATTTCTTGTGACCCCAGAAAATTTTTCTGCACATGTGAATTCGGGTATGTAATAGCTTTGATAGTGGATAATCTCGCAGAATCTGATGATGATCTCCTAGATTCCCATGCAGTGCGCGGAGACTGTCAAAATAACAAAAAAATAATAATAATATATAATAAATTAAATAAAAGAAAACGTTTTGAGCGCATGATTTAAATGCATGATGATCTATTTTTATTAAATTTAATATTTTTCTTGTACGAAACGAAAAGCTGCTGCGAAATATTCTTACAGCAAGTAATGCGCCAACGAGATCCGTTGCGACTGGATCGCTGTACATTGCTTTATCTTCTTTAAGATGCGGCACATAAAGTTCCGTCGTCTTTAAGATATCGATTGCCTAGAAGACGTAAGACAAGCAGTAAACAACATATATTTAAATGGGTAGATAGTGACTTAGCACGACACGAGCGTCTCATTAATCACATACTTTATCGATTTGCGCTGCTGTTTCTGGATTAGTTGTATCCGTGACTGCGTTTGAAAGTAATGTAATGACTTTGGTGATAGGCGCTTCCAAATGCAGCTTCTGCAAACTTGACCGTCTACGGCCTGTCACAATAATACGATTTTTTTTTTTTTCATATCAAAGAATCAATCAGCATATTAAAAAATTGTCGTTTGATTTTATTTATATTTGATAGATGATTATTCGCTCCGGAACTTATTGTTTAAAATTCGACATTGTAAAAATACCGAAACGGCGTAATATGCTCGCGAGATGCTGCACATGATTTCAATTTTTCTTGGAAATATGATGCAAATTAATTAAAGCTATAGACACGTAAAACTTTCGCATTAGTCAAGCTATAACAGGTGTGCCCCAGATTCGTGCTATTAAATTTCTTGACGTGTTTACGACAACGATATATGTAGGGTTAATATCGGGCGCACGATAACTCTTTAATGTAAAAATACATGCCACAAAGTGTACCATAAAATAGCCGATGACCCAATTCGCATCTCTCAATGCGTTTATCTTTATATCGAAGGGTACATCAATAAACTAAGAGGACAAAATTATCTGTGTCGACAACTTTTTCTCATTACTGGTGATACTTGATATAGACCGTTATGATATTAGTGATATTATTTATCCGATATTTATAGAAATATTTACCTTCGCTTATACCAGATTTGACGTCTGAGGATTTCCGCGTATTCGGCATTACACTTGGTCTAAGAGGAGGATGCAATGGGCTGCCAACTGGGCTTATTGGTGCTGAATTTTCCGACAAATACGTAGTATCGTATACGTATATATAATGACTTGGTTTTCTAAAGATAGATATAATAAATCTAAAGATAGATATATGAAATAGAGTAATAATTGAACAACTGTTATAAAATAATAAATAGAATGTATTTTAATGATGACATTTATAATAAAAGAGATGATTTTTTTATTAATAATTGATTAATATTAATATCAAGAAAGAATATAATTAAAAATATGAATAAAAAATAGTATTGAAATTAATATGAAGAAAATAAGAGTTTATTAAGAAATTAATTGTTTTGAATTTCAGTTAAGAGAACATACTTTAATGTAATACAGAACGGTATTATCCTGCAATTGATCGTAATCATTTGATTGTTTTTCCTCTTGCAATTCATATTTCCTTCGAATTCTCGGCCTTTACTCAATTGCTGCTCCATGAGAGCAAAATTGTCGTAGTAGACTATTTCCGAAAGATTTCTTCCCATCATTTCTTCTGTCTTATATCCTAACAATTTTTCGCTGACTTTATTTAGAAACTAAAAACAATGTAAAATTACAATCTATGCGTATAGATATTGGTATCAAAATAATACTGGTATCAAAATAAGAATCTTATACAAATAATGTGTACATTTATATATGCAATGAAAAAAGTTTTTGTTGCTGGAAATATCGGGAATGACTATACAAAATAAGAAATGTATACCAATTTGTTTCTCATAATACCTGTACAATGTTCTTATCATTGGTTATATGCACCATATCGCGACACCTGTCAAGTGCCAAATATAATGCATGTGCTGCTGCTAATTGAGTTTTCGGCAATAATGAGCTAGTATATATTCCTACCAATTCGTTTATTAATATGCCTTCGTGCGAACATTCCATCAGTGCCTGAAATATAAGCGGAACTGAATAAAGAACTCAATAAAAAGTCTATTTGTAATCTTTTTTATGTGCATCTGATATATTCTGTTATTTAAATAAATACTCACTCTGGTAAAACCTGTTTCTAGCAAGTTTAATGCCACAATATGATCTTTCTCATCGAGCATGAAATATCTAGATATACGAAAGTCCGAATATTAAAATAAAAATAAAAGTTAATTAAATTGTAAAAAAAAAGATTAGGAAACATACGATTTTTTCACGAGGGCTATAATGACAGAATTGTGATAAACCGGACTGGATCTGATTGCTCTGAAATTTAATATTTTAAATTATATAACAAATATATGTAAATTTATAAATAATTTCTTTTCCTAATATAATATTTTCTTTATATTTAATAAAGATTGACAAAACTTTTGTTGAATATATTCATTTTTGGAATAAATAATCGTTGGATATAATTAAAATATTATTCAAATAATATGACAGTTTTTTTTTGCATATTAATAATTTTATATATTTTAAATTATATATTTCCCGCTTATTTTTACAGAATCTTTTTTATGCTGAATTTATTAGAGATTATTTAAACAATTTGCCATACCTACAAATAGCATCGCCTTCGGCCGCGTGATGTTCTCTATGATCGATAATCACTAATTCATGAGCGCGATTTTGAAAAAGTTCAATTGCTTTTTCCGCGTCTTTTGCCATTGATACGCTCCAGCCCAGCCTTCTAGCGGCATTAGCAAGTATGTCCATTTGTTGATCATCTTTGCTAAAGACTAATAATATCTGCACCATGAGGAAGTTTGACAAGTATGGAAAACAAAATTCATATATTAGTATTAGCCAAAAGTCGGATTTGTTAATGCAATTTTGTCAAATCAATATAATACATACTTTTATAATACTAGGAACGTTGGTTGTCAATAAATAATTGCTAAAATCTTGAGGACCCTTCTGTGAACAGAAAAGAAATAATAAAATAAAATAAAATAAATCAAAGACGAGATAGACGATATAGATGAGAGATGATCAAAGAGTTTTGTCACGTGTCTCCTTTTTTCGTGATTTGTACGTGTTTGCTATGAGTAATGGTTTTTATTTAACCAAATCTAATCAGAGACTTAATGTTAATGCATCGATATCGGTATCGGATACATACTGGTTCCTCTTTATCTAGATACATCGATTCAAGTAGTTTGTAAATTTTCGCTCGATGACGAGCTCGCGGAGACGCTTCCACATTTTTTTGCGGTCTTGTAATGTTTCGTAACTTGATCCTTCATTTGCAATAAATTAATCGCTTAGTCGTCGCTATTCTAACCTAGATATGTCAAAAATATGACAATAATCGAGGTCTGCGATCTTATATACATTTTAAATTGATAAAAATCAATCCTGAAGTAAGTCAACTACTGAAAGTTATGCAGAGTCTTGCTTGTTTTCGTGAGATGATATGTGCATTTACTGCGCATTAGAGATACGTCACAGAATATTTTTGCAGCTTACGAGAGAGAAGTTAATTTAACTACTGTTGTATTTCTCATAAAAAAAAAAAAAAAATTATGGATATACAAATTGCACCAGAAATCATGATCAATGTTAAATTTATACCCTAATGCGTGCTGCCAATTGCGGTATCAATTCAGCCACTTGCATCCTCCTATTCTAGTGCACCATCTCTTTCGCACACGCCCGCACACGATACTGAGAATGTCACTACACCATGTCCGCAATTCTTCCTTGTTAACATTACTATCGTCAGTGCTGCCGTAGACATAGAGTACCCAGTCTAGTTAGCCGTCTATTCATTTCTCAATGCCTTATTAACGCGAGGATCATAAAAGCAAAATAGCAATTGCACAGATGATGATGCATCACGCTGTCCACGCAGTTGAATATATATTATTTAATCTTATTCTAATCTTATTTTTATGATATTTTGTAAAATCGGTATTTTAATGACATTGTTTTTTTCGAATGCAATTTTTGATCGTTTTGTTATAATTTTTTTTTACATTTTACATTTTAACGTTTAGCTTTATCAGAGCGTTGTGAGAACCGCAAAGGACGACTTAAACAAAAGACCATTACGATATTGATCATCGATCTATAGATAACGAGATCGATATATTCGTTCGATCAGAAGTAGAAGTAATTTACTAGCGATAAGGTGTCTATGTAGCATGTCAAAGCATATTCTTATAACGATAGTGTATTTTGTGAAGTCAAACAAAATTTTATCCTATGAGAAAAACATTTATAAATAAGTGATATAACATTTTATCGAACTCTTCAAATAATTCTTTTCAAATACATATATTCTCAATATGACAAGACATGTGATTTTATTCTGAAGAAAAATTAATAGCTCCATTATTAAAAAAGATTTCATGCACCCCTAATAATTTATTAATTCCATTTATAATCTGCTTTTAATAGAAATTGCTCAATTAAAATTTATTTATATTTTCAATAAGAATAATTTTATTATCAGTAAGTTTGAAATTTGCAATAAATAAAAAGTATGTGCTATATTAATAAATTGATAGCTTACGAATGACTTTACTTGAATCATACCTGATACCCATCGCTTGTAGATATTGTTGCGATCAAAGAAAGATTAAAGAGAGAAATTTTACAGTCAGTTCACAATAACATTGTCGATCGAATCGTTTTTTTTTATCATGTTCTCAGAAGACCGCTGCTAAACAAAAAAATTGTATGCTAGAACAAAGAACACACGGGATTCATATTCGTTTTTTTAATTGCTCAGTGAAAACGAAGGAAATGTAGGAAGGGTGGAAAAGTTCGTTTATGTTCAGGCAGGGAAAGTTCTACGACCGAGAAAAAAGCTCCTTGTGACAGAATAACAGTTGTCGTGCTATCGATTCGTTACGAGTCACTTCGTGGTATTAATCACCGTCTCTTGTAGACGTAAATGAAACTCTGTGAGTGAATGAAAGTTTGTGACAGTTGTGTATGTAACTATCTTGTTACATTAATCTTTATGTTAAATAAGGAAAAAATCAAGGAAATTATTTATCAATTTGAATACGCCAATAAGCCAAAAATTTTACATGAGAACGGTGTGGAAATTCGAATCGTTTTATCAACAAGTTGTTAAACGCGAGCTGCTCGTTTAACTTAACGTGTTCGCTTTTAGTCTATAGCATCAAACTTCGTCCAACTTTTTCGAAACGCTGCTCTTACCGATAATTCAATCACAATAATTGCCGTGCGTGACAAGTCCGACAATTGCGTTTTGTTCGAGCCGAGCTATCGCTCGGCTGTAGAGCGTACATAAGCACGTTTGAGAGACAACGATTAACGGAGGAAAGCGACAGCAAAGTGAACAGGACAAAAGAGTGACATCGTCGAACGTGTTCCAAACTTTTGCTTAACTAGACACTTCTTCTGGACGCGAACAAACTATAACCGTTCATTCGACGTCGAGAATATTACTATCGCTCGGAAAATAACAGATAGTTTATCAGAGGGGTAGCTTTACACTTTGAGGATTAGCGGTGAACGGTGTTGCACGCGATCGATTTTCCCGCTTTGCGGGATTTGATTATCGCCAAATTGATGCGGCGCGTAAACTCATTGGCGCCTACTCTTACTTGACATTTTCCGGGCAATTTGAAACGCACGCAAACACATCCGCATTACTCTAAGCAAGCAGCTCGTCGGTTCCGACTGATCGCTCCCGCACGTCTAGAGACTGTCTATAGACGGTCTATAGATCTGTCTATAGCCGTTCTCGAGCCGGCCGGGATCTTGACTCGTCGAGGAGAAGCGGCCAAATGAGAGAGATCGTACTCACCGCGATTGCGCGCGGTGAATCAATTATTCAGCCGGCGTTTATGCCCGCGACGTTGAAGTGCGTCCGAACGATTTTCATATTTAATCGGGCCATCGAGACAGATGACTATTGAGCCGATCGAGCATTACCCTTTCGTCACCCCCGCGCGAAACTTTGCGATAAACGCCGCGCGAATTATTGAAAGGGTTAGCCGCGATGGAAGGCCGCGTCAGCGGTACGCAGAAAAACGCATGTATATTTAGAATCACTGCTTGCGAAGTTTGTATCGGAGAGGAGAGGAGAAGTCTTGATTGCGGGTTTCCCAACAAAGCCCCCTGTGAGAACGGAAAGGGCTGACGGCGAGGATCACCCTTCGCTAGATTATTCCCCCGCTTTTTTTCTTTAGCTCTTTTTTTTTTTCTTTTCGTCGAGTTCCCTTAACAATTGAACATTTTCCTCGAAATGGGATTTGCGCAGTCTCCCCTTTCGAGCTATTTATGCGCGCGCTTCCGCGTAGCCTTTTTTTCGTTAATTTTTTCTTTGTTAGATAATTTTAATTTTCTACCTTGCAATATATTCTTTATAAAATTTGTATTTGATTGAAATACGTCGATATTTTATAGATAAATAGCATAGTATTATCGGTAATTCATAAATAGATATTCTTTCAAGTAAAAGTGTTAAACCGAAAGGAAACAGAGCATAATGAAACAAAAAGAGAGAGAGAAGAAGAGAAATAAAAGAGAAATAATAATAACGATAATTACGATAAATAACGATATATTTTTAAATTAAAGATATAGCAAGTTGAAATCAGTATTTAGAAAAATGTTAATAGCAAAATGTTACATAATACTGATTAGACACTTATTAAGTATGTAATTTTGCAGAAAGGCAAATTTAAAATTTTAATGCAGTCTAGTATTAAATTCGGGAATTTCAAAAATATAATATATTAAAAATATATGATGCATTTGCTATTTTCTTATCTTAAAGTTACTTAATAATTCTATGTTAAAAAACTTTAATGATATTATTGCAAATTAGAAAAAAATGGCAATCGATGCAGTATCATCAGAAACCAGTCTGCCTCTTATCCGTATTCAAAAATGTAAAGTGGAACAATGCCTAGGCGATTCTTATCTTTGATTACGAATATGAAAGAGTTTAGATAGCAGACCTAATTATTAAAGATGTGATAACATACGCCTACGTTATAAGTAGCATCATCGTCAAATGTATCGTTTTTAATAACTTTGCGATATTAACCTATACATTTCACTTTCTTAAAAAGTCCAACAAAATAACATCTTATCTTTTGCTATATCAACTGCAGAAAATAGTTGAAGTATATTATATTAATATAATTAAAAATAAACTTAATTATTGTACAACTTAAAAATTTGTTTCAATGGAGATTTTGCATATTGTAAAGACATTATTTATGGAATAATTGAGATCGGAGAATATATTATAAATAAATTATTCGGATAATATCAATGTTGCGCATATACCGAGCAATTATATATAAAATTAGCATTATATATAAAATAAAAATGACACTTAAAATATTTATCTTTAAATGATAATGAGGAGATAACTTACTATGGTCAAGTAATCGCCATTTTCATCATATGCGCAAGAGTCCTCAAAGGGTGTTTTTTCATTCTTTTCAGCCACAATGTCAAACGCATCCGTCTTACCTAAAACAATCCCGTTAAATAATCATTAATCCAATCATGCTCAAAACTCAGACGGATGTTCTTTCGAACAATCGAAAATTCTTAGCAACAGGTAGTTGTTAAGCGTGACCATAGCAGCGTAATTAAAGGTCTGGCGATTCTAAAGTTTGATTCCATGTAATAAAGCTGGAACTACCCATTTACATGTATTTATCGGTTTATATACTTATATCGAACTTTTTTCCTAACTCAAACTATCAATTAATGCAATTCAGTTGTCAATGCGTTAGTAATTATGGTAACGAAGCTTGTTAGAGGTACGCACACTTATTCTACAAGAATATCTTAGGGTTTGAGGTTTGTGGGTGATAGCAGCTTTTATTGCAATTAAAAGTCAATTGAATTTAATTGACAAGATGAATTGATTGGTGAATCGTTGCCCCAATTTTTTTTTTTTGAGACCGTTCCACTTATAGAATGTACTTTATCACAAAATAATTGCGTTATGCGTACGTATTTAATGAAATCAAAATGGAACTTAGAAAAGATTGAGCCATTTACGCACCGAATAAATGATCTGGAAATAATTCATTCTCCAAGCTGTCTTCGTCCTCGCTTGGGAAGAAATACTTGTTCGGCAGCGATGCCATATGAATTATACTTTCGGCCTTGCAAATATTGAGCTAAGCGGAGCTACATGATCTCACATTGTTCGAAACTATATTTTTTTGCGTCTGCTTTCATTACACTGACAGCGTTATGTTATTACACGTCTCACTGTTCATATTAAACATTTGTCAAAAAATTTATCTTTTAAAAGATCACTGAAATCTGCACTAATGAGCCAAGTTTTTTTCATCCTTTATATCTGCAATAGACTTAATTATTTAAATTTTTGTAGACATGTTGTTAAATAGGAATATTTTTTGTCACAGATTATTATTGAAAACTACATATCAATTTCTCATATAATAACAGATTAGAATTATAGCATTAATATTGTAGTAATTATTTTCTGCATGTTAATATCTTATATTATATCTTAAATGTTTTACATTTTTATTTAATAGTTTAATATGTTTTCTTCTGTCTTCATTCAAAAAATAAAGTTAATTAATTTATGTAAGAATACAATAAATATATTTGTTATTTTTAAGTGTATGAATTTATAATGACGTGTTAAACAATAATTAGAAATAGCTAAATAATTAAAACTTATTGAAGTATAAAAAATATAATTATATATTTATAATTTATAATCATATAAAAATAAAATTAGTCTTTATTACTCTTAAAAAGAGCAAAAGAAGAGCAAAAGAATTCAAATACTCTTGAATTAAAATACAAATATATAACAAATTAAATTTAATTATAAACATATTTATCACATGTTAAAAAATAACTATTATAAGTTGTTATTTTATCCTAATGTTGTAATCGTAATTGCAAACAATCATTGCTCTTATCAATATTTAATTTTAAGATGCTGAATCAGTTAGTTAAATTTAAGTAAATCGATCGTAAAAATATTCTTGTTCCAAAGATCAAAGATTGTTCAAAAATAAGCATGTAATCTTAATTATGAATTGTAATAAATATACATTTATGAATGGAAATTTTTTGTTGCTATAAGATAGGAAATCTTCAAATTTATATTTACTCTGTACTGAAATAAAAACGAAAAAAAAGTAGAAATAAAAAGTAAAACTATTTTTCAATTTGATTTTTATAATATTCAAAATTTTTCTAATTTTTCAAGATAAATTATCGTCAAATATAACATATTTTTAAAAATCTTTTCTTTTACATTTTTTAAACAAAATTCTTAATTACATGCATGGGTCCAGTCAAAGAATGTAGCTTATATTCTTTTATGTTTGTCATTTTCCTTCGCGTCATTTCTTTGCGCATTATTTATATATGTTTTATTTAAAAACATATTTGAAAATGTAATCCAAAATTCGCTCATAAATAACACATGCACTTGATTGGTTCAATGAGATTTCACATTTAACGACACTGAAGTGTAATTTATTTGGGCGCTATTTGCGGGCGTTAAAATCGCGAGTGGATTAAATCGCGATAAAAATCGGCGTTCGCGTATGCCGAACGATGTGTCGTTTGCGGCCCAAAGACAGCGACTGACCGAGAGTACCGAATCGACCAAGTTAAAATTCTACTCGAGAGTGACTGGCCCCAGAAGAGCGACGCGATAGCGTTGTTGGGGAGACCCCGAGATATTGTAGGTCCATTTAGCACGAAACACGGGCAGAAATATGTATCACATCAATCTGAGTTTCATAAAATCTCTATTCCCTGAGGCAGATGAGAATATAGAAGAGCAAAATAAAAAAAATTCAAAAAATATTTATCAACATTTTTATATGCATAAAAAATTGCAACACGCATGATAACAATAAATGAATGATGGAAATTAAGTTCTAGATATTCTTTTACATTAAAAATCTTTGGACCACTTTTAAAAAATATATGTAGATATTTCTATGATCGTAGACGATTAAATTTGAAAGAGAAAAGGAAATCACGAATAGAGAATAGATAAAAAATTATATAGGTACAATTATAGGTACAAATATTTGATCGTAATTTTACTGAATACTATTAAGTAATAGAATGTATGATGATTGGTTTGGTCAGAATGAGCTGTTGTAAGGATTTAAATAAACTTATTTCTTGATTAATCTCAGATCTGATAAGATAAAAATTCAAGTAACATGTTGCTTGCTTACGTGTCTATAGAAGTTCAAAAAACATTATAGATATAATCGATATTAAATTAAGTGAGTTAAGGAGTCATGTTCACCGACTTTACATAAATGGAATTAATTAAATTAATTAACTGGAAGGAAAAGAAACGTGTGTAAACATCAATACTGATAAATTATAAAAATTGTTTAACGATTTGTTGAGATTATGTTAACAGCACTCAGATTCTTTTTAATAGTTTTATATAATTGATAAATTTAAATAATGATTAATTTAATTAACTAACTAACATTGCGCTACTTCACGATCGTCCTCTTCGACGACAAAATGATGCTTGTTGAACGCGAGATACAGACTGTCTTGGTCCCTGTTGGTCTCTGTTTCATCTGTAAATAATATCTACGTATAAATACTTGTCGATAATAAACTAAAGCAGCTAATATCTTAAAATGTCTTAATAAGTTCTAGAAAATCGACAAGATTGATGATGTACCTCGTCTGCATTTATCTATATAGCCGATAGAAATGTTGCGCAACGTATTCGAATATTAATATTCTAGTCAAACGTATCTGAATTCGTATTTGCATATAGCGTAGCTATGGAATATTTATTAACAAGCCACCACGTCATTATAATACTGCGTGTAAAGAAAGAAAAAGATGAAACGTTTTACGTAATCTTCACAGAATACGCTCGTGACGTTGGCCGTAGCAACTTAAATAACACCTAATAAACCTCAATTCCTTTTCATGAGAATTACCATCTACAAAAAGATGAGGGTCGTTACTGGAAATAAGTACGGCATATTAAATACCTAATGATGTACAAAAGTGATTCGAAAGTATAATAATCACATAGAGCTCTTTCGAAGTATTAGAAAAATAGCTAGAGATAAGATGCATGTATTTGCTACAAGGTCGATTTTAGAAAATAAAACGATGTTTTAGAAAGAAATTTTTAAAAAATTTTGATTGAAGACATTTGAAAATGTATAGAATTAAAGATAGATTTAGAATTTATAGAAGTGATAGAAGTCTTCTTGTGAGAACGATTAACTTTTATCTTAGAATCGATCCTTGAGTGTGATATAATACGTGGTCTCGGTTCGACATTGCGTTGCGCAGACTAAATCGAAAAACTAGAAACGCGTTGGAAGTCGCTCCCTGGATTCATAAATCTGATTAATTCACGTCTCGAACGATGACTCCAGTCGGCACACACACACACACACACACACACACACACACACACACACGATGTGGTCAATTGTAGACTAGGTCAAGGAGAATGACTGTTACCTGAAGTCTACCTTCCCACCCTTCCTTCTCTCCTCTTTCATGAAAGGCATCCATCAGACAAATGCATGATAATGCGATTTTGATTTGATCGTTTAACTTTTCTTAATGCCAAATGCCATTATGATTTGAAAATCATAATAGAAAAAATTTATTTAAACAATAAAATTTTGTTTAATTAAAAAAATATTCAGGTAGCATTTTTAAATTGTAATGGAATAGATTTTGTTATGTTGGTATATAATATTTTATCATGATATATCCAACATTCAAAAATTAGAAATTAAAATATGTAATAATTTTTCGTTTGATTAATAAATTAAGGAATAATTATTGTAAATATTTTGCCTTCAATTTAGAAGCACACAAGTAAAATAGAAGACATACAAGTTAGAAAGCAGATAAGAAATAAAATAGAATTTAATTATAAATTTAATTGTAAAGTATATATTTTAGTTACTGAAAATAGTAATAATATATAACGCTAATGAAGTTACATAGATAATTATATTACGTTTACACATCTGACATACGTACATATGTTTCATATTTATACAATAATATAATTAAAAAAATGTTAATTATAGTTTTTAGATATAATGTTTTACAGCTCATTTGTGTTGAAAATTCTAAAAGTACAATTTTCACTATGATTAAAATATATCAGAGTATAGATTAAATGGACGTAATGTGGAAAGACAGAAATAGTAATCTGAAAAATAAATTTTTCGAGCGTGTAATATCTTCTTGCACAGCAGTAAACGGGTTATATAGAGCAAACATGGTGAGAGAGAAAAACGTAACCACCCAGAATTTGACCTTCGAGAGAAGATTACTATGCTTCGACGTTTAACGTTCTCCAGTCGTATATTACATATACCCAAGAGCCGAATACGTGTAAACTTGATAACATTTCGCAATCAGAAGGAGGCATTTAAACTTCGCGTCAAAAGTGTTTAGCTACAGATTGACATACGTCACTTAGAAATTTCTACAGTGCCACTCATTGAGAAAGAGTTAACGACTGAGATTAATAATGGATCACACTACTTGCACAATATCTTTCATATATAATTCTACTTAAATAAATAATGGCGTCATGTAATATGATACAATTTTTCAATGAAAATTTTTTTAGATAACATATAAAATATTTTTTATATATCTAAATTTATTGCATGAAGTATAATATAAATTATTAATTGCATCTATCTTCAGAGCAACATTGTAAAAATTATTTATAGTTTTGCATTGTCAAATGAATATCTTTCCAACTGTCTACATCAATTTTTATCGTGAAAGCTAAACTTTACGAATAACATTCTTTTCACATAGACTTCAAACCGATTGAAATAAAAATATAATATTACACAGAAAGAAGGAAGAAAAAGAGCAACGTACCGCTTGTGTTGCTGGAAGAATTGCTAATTCCCGACGATATGCTCTCCTCCTGCTCGACTTTGCCTCTCATGCATTTCAATATGCTAATCTTGCATCCCATTCTCAAGACGAGCTATCAGTTCGCGAAGGGCCTCCTTACTATTTTTCGCATTGTCGGAAACCTCGGAAAACATCCGGTCAAATTCTGAATCATCAATGACAGCCGCGACAAGTATCGTTAGGTTATTTTTCATCGAAGGCGATTGGTAGAGGCGAAATCTCCTCTTTTTCATTTAGAAAAATTAACACGAGCTGAGAATTCGATATTGTTGAAAGAAACGTGTGCTTACCGTGTACGCGTGTGTGTAAAAATGCACGCTCATGCTTGCATATCAATTTGCTTATCTCGAGACCGAAGGAAATAATCCTCTGCGCACTGATTTTGCATAACCCAAACATTGATTGTGCTAACACTATTTTACATTAATTAAACGTACATAAAGAATCGCACTAATAAAGTCGGGATTAAATCACTTTAGAACAATATGTTAAATTGCTCGAGTCGCATTTGATTAAACGACGAGTGCCAATAAAATTTCCGCTGAATCAGTCGAGATTTTTTTCGATCACTTGGAATTTTCACCACTTGCAAATAGAAGTTAAATTAAATAAAATTTACTGCGTTCACAAAGCTAACTGACTGCTCGCTAATTGCTCGTTAAGAGATTAGAACAAACGTGTGGCTTGTCGAGATGAATGAAAATTTCGTGAGAACTCTGCGACTGTTGATGACAAATTGAACGCACATCAAGACCGCGATCAAGGCGCGGTGATTTCGCGTGGGGTCATGCGTTAGTGCAATTTTCCCAGTCCGTTTTTATCTTATCTTCTGCCGAAAGTGTCTACATGTAATTCAAAAATTCCGCGACGCATCTCAAATAGTATCACTTGGCAGCTACGATTCTCGGCGTGCGCAAATTAGAGATGTTTCGCGCGAGATAGCCGTTCACGTAATTCGTCCGATTACGCGTTGTGTGGGCATGAAGTGAGCAAATACTGTTGTGTGCATAATTATCGGAGGCACTGTTTTCATAGTGATGCAAGTCTGTAGTTCCTATATCGCGATACGGACATTTAAAGTTTTTAAATTAAAGAATCAGAAGAAGTCCCGGGGCAATAATAATCTTTAAATAAAATCTCAAAATAATCTTTATAAAATAAAAATTTTTCTGTCTTTTTATCTTTTATCTTGAAGTATTTTTTTTTATATATTTAAGTATTTTTTTTTATATTTGTAAAGAAACAAAAGATATTATAATTTTGTTGGAAATAAATCTATTAACAAGTTAATAAATTTAATTATTAAATATCTGTGAAACAACTTTTTATATAAATTATTAATTTATTATCGAATATTAAATATAAAGTAATATATAAAGTTCTATTTTTCTCATCACAATTTATTAATATTTATATGTAATTACATTTGAAAAGATTGATTATAAAACGATTTCTGCTAACTTGAAAATATGACGGGTGTCAATTCATAGATTCCGAATATCAAGATAATAAATTAAACGCATACGTTTAACAATCGATTTGGAGAATAAAGTATATACTTAAATTCTTCGATAAAGAAAAGTAAAGCCGTTAATTACCCTTAGAAATAAACAATGATAACAGACCGTAACAGTACGTTTGAACAAGCATGTATGTACGTTTACGGAGCACGTCTATCGCGTGTTTTTTAACACGCTGTTTCGACCATAGATCATCATGAATCTTTACTAGGAAAGATGATCTCTATCTGATAAAGATCAACTTGCAACGTTGTTAAATCGCACGGTGCAGTACGTATGAGATATTTACTTCAAAACTTCAGTTGTGTAATAAATACAAAACACTCGATCGGACATCGCTTTCGACGCGTTGGCATATTCAACCGGCGTATTTCGGTAGTTGATGTAAACGTAATACGGAACAGAAGTGAAAACTTTTCGTTGAAACTCTTCGTCGCGATGTCACGTAACGATTGCAACGACGACGATTTCACAGTAACGAACAGTACGAATCACGAGAGCTCCTTTGTCAGGCGACACGGCGCTTCGAGGTGTGTATGAGATTTTAATGAAGACAGAATCGGGATGTAGGCAGCGCAGTGGCCTTAGACTCACTGGCTAAATTGTACGATTTCTCGAGGACGTCTTTGAAATCTCCGTATCTCATTCGTTCAAAGTCTTCTCGCACGCGCCCCTCGTCATCTATCTCGCGTCTTCACATAAAAAGATGCAACAGATATTTGAGTAGTGTTTAAACACACATGAGAGATCAATATACGAAAGATCCACGCGTGTTTGAACGATAAACGTGATTTTTAAGCCAGCAATGCTCACAGACAATAGAGGCGGGGATAGGTAGAATTTGCGAGTAGCAAATACAAGATGTCGGGGAATTATCACTGTAAATTTAATCGCTTAACACAGCATCATTTTTTATACGGCGACTATTTAGGATCGTTTTAGAATTTCCGTGACGTAAGTTATCTTTGCACAAGAGAGCTTATCGTGCGTTTGAATATCTGTTTTATTTCTTAGCCGTTGTTTTTTAGTGGTAATACAATAGTTTTTAAGTTGTAATTTAACATCTTTGGTTGGTGCTTACGGCTGGAGATGGGCAAATGCATTCGCAAGAACAATTGAGATTGCTTTGATAGCAATATTACCAATTTTATAAAAAACTTTTTTTTTATCTTATGAATGTACTTTTATGCATTTTAAAAAATTTTTATTTTTATGTACGTACATAATATCAAATATTATAATATGTAAATATACATTAATATGAGATCTTTTTCTGTATACTTCTTCCCATAATATGAATCTATCTCTTATTTCATAATATAAATCTCTATATAATGTACGACTTTTTAAAGTTTTTGACGTATAATAATTGTTTACAATCTGTATTGAATAATATTCTATTACTCTTAACTAGATATTTTTGCATGCATGTTATCAATCAAGATAAATCACCAAGACAAATCATCAAGTTAGATTAACACAGTTTTGCATATAATTTCAACATATAGTTTTCAAGAAGAAGAAAGAATAATGTATGAAAATTTTGGACCTAAATATCTAATTAATTAAATTAAAATAAGTTTAATGAAATATATGAGATAATAGAAGATTGAAAAGTTTTTCTATCGATATTCAAATGTTCGATTTTACGTCGATATTTTCATACATTCAGAACGTGTAATATATCATTTTTCAAATTTTCTTAAAAACATAACTTGTTAAAAATTATATGTTAAGGAATGATATTTGTGATCAGATAAAATTTCTTGTATCGTTATGCAAAATTATAAAAAAGAAAGCTCTAGTGGATTATTTGAATGGACGTACAAGGTATTGTTTTTCTCAAATTCATTCCAACATTGGTTAAAATCATTAATTTAAGATTTATTCATTTTAATTATATTTAGAAGTTTTATATACAAAAATGAGTATTTCTTATTTTAATAACCTTTTATCTAACTTTATTCTTATTTTTATCTGTAATTTTCAATACAACTTATGATATATCTTTAATCAAGGTTCTCTGTTGCAAAAAAAAACGTGAAGCCTTTGCCAATGATACAGATGTATCTGCAAAACAACTGCTTACGGTTTTGTGCTGATTATATAAATTTAAAAGATTGGTCGCCGCTATTAAACGGTATAATGCAAGATCGAAGTCTATTCAAAATTTATGTATATAGCCGATGTCGCTGTAAGAAGATTAGAGAGAAAATAGATATAAAGAAGAAATTGATAAAATTACGGTAATTGGCAAAAATATGCTAAAATTTCGTAGAAAATTTACTTAATTTGCAAATGCTTTCTTTTTAGCATAAAAACTATTAAATGATTTTAATATTTAAATAAAAGTATATTTTATAATATTTTTTCCTTGCTTAATCTGTTGCTGTTACATATAGTAGACAAAATTATCTTTAAAACTCGATAATTTTTTAAAATAATTTAATTTAATTTTTATGTAAAATATTTTATGTAAAAGACTTGAAATAAAATTGTAATTAAACAGATATATAAATGATTCTTTTGCAAATTAATTATACATATACTCAAGAATATCTCTTCTACAATATAGAGAAAAGTTAATATAGTGACTTATATATACTTTTTTATAAATATATTTTATTCTTAATAGTTTTAATGTTGTTTTCAAATTTTTATTGTCATAAAAAGTATTTGATTGTTTGAAAAATAAGATTAAATATCACGATTATTTTTTTCTTTCGGATACTACTCTCAGTAAGTTTAAGCTTGCAGGTGACATCGCGGGATGACTGAAAGGAAAGTTAAAACATATGACAATGGCAAAAAATGATGATATATAAACTCACGAATCACAAAATGGCAAATGGACTGGCATTCTGCTCGCACATTCAGGAGAGGCGCGAGAAAGGATCGACAGCAGCCAGTTTTGTACACTAATTGTCTATTACAATGCTTCGTTCAATCTATCGCCATCTGTCTGAAGAACTCATTGATGATCACCAGTCTTACACTCGATGGTATTCCTTTGGCACCCAAGTATTTAAGGATCTTCGGTGATGGTTTGGCAAACAACCGTAATCTGAGAAGTTTATCGTTGGCCAGATGTCAAATAGACGATGCAGGTTGGTTATAATTTGTAAATTATACGAATTTTTTTTAAACAGTCAATATAAATTATACATTATATTTATGTACTTCAAATATAACTTTTTCTTAAAGATATCTTTGATATTTTAATTAATGTAAAAGCATTAAGATAACAGCAACATATTCAAATTTATGTTTTTTAACAGGTTGTTATACATTGCTAGAAAGTTTGCAATGTAATTCAAGTCTTCATGTCTTAAATTTATCATTATGCTGCCTCAGAAGCGCTACATGTCTGTCATTATTTCTTAAAAAGAGAAAAGCAAATTTGTTGCAAAGTGTTTGGAAGAAATTAACCTTGCATCAAGATATTAACTTAACAGTGGTATGAATCAAGAAGAAAATATCTTTTTAATTGAAGCACCATGTACGGACAGATTATTTAATACATTTGCATTTACATTTCAGGAAGAAGGATTGCGAGTATTAATACTTGATAGAAATTATAAATTTGGTGATATTGATTTGAGGCAATTGACATGTATGCTGAAAAGTGATTTTTGGTTGAAAACATTACGTTTACGATGTTGCGGAATTACTCAACATGGAGGAGAAATTATGTTGGAGCTTTTACAAATGAATAGTGTACTTACACAAATTGATCTCAGGGATAATGAAGTGTCAACCGACATACTTCAAATTATTTGCAAGCTTCTGAAGAATAGAGAAAATAAAAGAGAAAGAATATCGATGAAGAAAAGATTACTAAGCAACAAGCATATCTTTAGGCAAGATATAGTCTCGAAAAACGACTCTTTTCAATTACCAAAAGAGAAAATATTTCTTAAAAATCAAGTTGTAAGTAATTCAAATTTAGTATCTAATTTAATAATAGTAATTTAAATAATAGTAATTTATCTAATTAAATAATTAAGTAATTTAGTAGTTTAAAAATGCGATTTGTTATGATTTTTAAAAATATTTATCTATTTGTTTTATATAACATACTTTTTTTGTTTTAGCATACTCAAACAGAAATGCAGCAAGATTGTATATTACAACGACCCATACAGAAAATAAGGAAAACAGATAGTAGAAAACGCAGATTATATAATGAAGTAAAGAAAAATTGGATCAAGGTGGACGAATTAAGAAACCAACTATCTATTATGATCGAGCATAATCAAAACTTAATAACATATTTAGAAAACAGTACTAATTTTCTAATGAAAGAAAAAAATCGCCATTTGAGTACTGAAGAAGCGTATCATAAAATTCAACCTCGACTAAGAAATCTCAAAAACAAGATTGCTCTACAGAATCCTATTCATTTGAATATGTGTTATGAAAATCAAGTTTACACGAAGTTACAAAATATCTTTGATGAATTAAAAATATCTACGAACGGGAAAATATTAAAAATAAATGACAAAAGTCCTGGTGAAAAAAATTAGCGAAAATAGAATTAAATCTATTGTTTATCATAAAAATCAATCACTTAAAAATGAAATTACTCAGTTTTTTCATAAAAAATCAAGTTATCTTAAAATAAAACTGTAATATTAATAATTTGAAATTATTATGTCTTATTCAATTATGTAAATTATATATTGTATAGCTACCGACTTATGAATTATAATCATAAATTAAATATATAATTATTTTTATAAAATTATATCCTGTTTTCCTTATTCGTATTTCCTAGTATCTTTTATATTTGTCTTTGTGCAGTGCATATGTATTTATATATTTATAGTTAAAAATATATATTTTTTTTAATTATTTAAGAATATCTTTATATTTATAAATCAAAAATATTAAATTTGTAATATATTTTTAATAATTTTTAATTTATAAATCAGATAGTGCTATATAAATGTACTTAAATACAAATACGTAACTAATACTTTAAAGATTAATATTATTTATTGTACTATTGTTTATAAAACCATATATGTTAAATATACGAATACATATATGATGTCTAAATAATGACTGTTTGCAATATCTTATGCTCGAATTCATAGTTTAAATGATTATATGGATCAATTATTCTTTCATGAATTTCTTTTCTTTATCTTATTTTTTTATTTATTAGACACTACAGACGCGTTTTGCGCGCGCTACTTATTTTCTAAACAGAAGAAGCAAAAATTATATAATACCATTATACTATTAAAAAGATATTGACAATATCGTCCGCAATCATAATTGATATTCAATAGATTTATCCAGTAGATGGCGAACGTTTTCACGTTGGCGGCATATCGTATTTCAAAACATGTACTACACGTGTTTTCACACTTTTTAAGAAGGCAAAAAAGATATGAACATCTAAGCAAGAAATACGCGCAGCGTTTTTTCACGGTTTTTTTCACAGGGTGCACCTGCGGATTTTTAAAAGGCTATAACTTCTCAAAAAATAAACATAGAGACATGGGATAAAGACGAATCTTCTTTATTTCGCGTTGCGTGAATGTTTATGTTAAATACATGTATTCGTGATATATATCATGTGTATATACAGGATCCGATATGCCAAAATAAGATATAAAATATCTTGTAAACTATTGTGTAACTTTTGTATATCTGTATCTTAATACTTTTTTATCCAAAATAAATAAAGGAATTGTATTGCATTATAAAAAAATATATAATTTCATTTAAAATAATGGCAACCATATAAATCTCGACAGTGACATCATCTGCAAATAAATCAATATCGCAATCATGTAGCCTTCTCGAAATCTTACAACTTTTATATAAAATAATTTTTTTTTAAATGCATTGTTCGAGAGATATTAAAAATGGAATATCCTGTACATATATCTATAGTGAAAAATAAAAAATCTATAATAAATTGTAATATAAAAAAAATCATTAATAAATCGCTTATAAAATTATATATGTTTTATATGTATATAAATATACATGATGTTTAAATGTATGTGATTATTTGCAATATTTTGTGCTCGAATTTATAAGTTTGTAAAATTTAAATTGATTATATGGATCAATTATTCTTTCATAAATTTCTTTTCTTCATTTTCTATTTTTATTTAGGGGGTATGTCACATAAAAATCTTTTTCTCTCGGGAATAGGTACAAGTAAGGGCATCTATCGCTTTCTCAGTGTACAACGATTACGAACTTCAGTACTCTTATCAATAGCCTTGAAATCAATAAACGTACTGAGCAGTAGATATATTATTGTCAACGTTCTCTACGGTAGATTTCAATGTATGTAGTCGGTAGTATACCATTATAAACTGCTATTACCACCTAAGAAAATCGATTCATATATCTAGATAGAGCTAAGTTATAAGAGATATGAGGTATTCGAATGTTTTTATTGATTATCTTTTTTCTGTTTAAAAAAACTTAAAAAAATTACGTTTCTACAAATATCAAGATAATTTTATGAATACACACAATAATTCTTCGTACAAAACAAATGCACTAAATAGCATAAATAGCAAATAGATTTATCGAAAAAATTAATGTAATAATGTAATAATGTACATGAACTATCAAAGGTTGTATATCAACAGTGCAGACTAAGACAAGGTAGTTTACTTCTACTTTCTCAGTTGGCGTCAGTGAACATGGATTTAAACAGAGGATTGCCATGATTCTGGTTGCACGCCTCCCAATGTTGAATGTAAATAACATAAAATAAATTATAATTAGGTAGAATAAATGTTGCTTTTAATATTTAATTTTATTTTTATATTTAGATAAAAGAAGATAAAAAAAAACAAAAGGCTGATTGTTCTTAAAATTGTTTTAGGTAGTCGAAAAAAAAATTGAAAATAATAGAAAAGGTTTATTAGATGTATCTTGTATGATATTCTCTGTAACATTTGCTGTAATTATGTTTGATTTATTCAAGTAAAAGACCAGAAGGATATCTATTGTATAGAATAAAAAATCTTACTTTTAAGTTACAAATTAATTTAAAAAATAAATATTTTTCTATATATTTTAATTTATCTCTGGCTAAAAATTAATTATATTGTTTAGTATATTCTAGTTATTTTTCATTAATTATCTTGTAAAAATATAGAACAGAACTTGCCATGTTCTTTGTCATTAATTAATTACAAGTCAGTTTCAATTTGCAAAAGGGCAATATGCGGTTTTATTATTTTCTTTTTCCTCTTTTTTATTTCTAGGATTTAATTCTTCTTTTCTATGGTTCTCTTACATTACAGTTTAGAATTAAATATATTAACTGCATAACAATAAATATATAAATTTTAAAACTTTCAGATCATGTAAATCCAATTTATTTTTTATTATTAGTTTTATTAATTATTCTTCATTATTTTATTTCATTAATAATTGATGTAAATATCTTTTTTTATAATAATGGCGGAAATTAAAATTAGATACAATAAAATTTTAGCTTGCGACTTGCAATTATTACGATTAAACAAGAATCTCAATTTCTTCGTGATTTATCCTGGTAAGATAATAAGGTTCTCTGACTTAACATTCTTCAACTACTTCGTCAGTTACTTTTCCCTTATAATCTCTCAACGCGATCGCATAAAATTACTCCTTCCCTTCTGGTTATTTTGGCACTGGCGAACAAACGCCCGAAAGTTTTCGGCCCCACTGACGCGGGCTTATGCTAATGACAGGAATTCTAATCGCAGATTATAATTGTTAATTCGTTAAATGACCATCTACAACTTTTGTGTATTTCCATTTTCCTGCGTACTTTCATTTAAAACTCATTGTATTCGATAATAATGTTTCTTCCTTTTGTGTTAACTAGAAAATGTTATTAAGATATATTGGTTTATTTCGTACACTATTATCTTTAACGAATGCATCAATATTAAAAAATAAAAAAGCTATAAATTTACGTTTTTCTTACAGATCTTATTTCTCAGATTATGTTTAATATTTTATATTAAATTATTTGTAAAAAATAAAGAAAATGAAATCTATATAATTAGAAATCATATATTAATTATTTATAAAGTCGAGAAAAAAATATTTGTTAAATCTTAAAAATCTTAAATCTCAAAAACAATTAAAATATTTTATTCTTTCTTTAATTTTTTTGCTAATTAAAATATAGTTTTTCTGATATTTTAAAGACTTTAAATTCCTTTATATTTAAAATTTTTTAAATTGTTTAAATTACAATTTTTATTATTGTTCTTTAACTAATAGTCATATCTTCCCGACACTATATCAATTTTTCAAATGTTAAATTATATAAACTTTAGTGCATTTAATGATCTTAAGTATAGAATATTTCAAGAGAAGACTTGGTACATTTTGAAAAGAAAAGAATACAAAGAGCAGCTTTTGTGGAGGTTTTTCGCTCGCGGATAAATTCCATCTGTCGAACGTTCGTCAGCTGTGCATGCCAGCACTCGTCGCACGGCCAGCTGCAATTAATCCATTTTATAGATGCTGACGATGTAAATGAAGTTTCCGGTCGAGTGTCCGGAGCGGGAAAAGAGTGGATGGAGAGCGCCAGTGCGGTGGAAAAGGGAGGCCAAACCGGCCCGTTCAATGCTCGTAAAAAGACCGTGGCTTTAACCGCCCGGTTGTAAAACCCTCTGGAAGCAATTAATAATAACCGCCCTTCGCAGTTCTCGCCCGAGCGATAAAGCGAGCTTCCCCGCCTTTTCGGCGCAATCGTATCGCATTGAGAGCACAAATGCCGCGAAAGATGTTCGTTTCAACTTATTCCATTGTGATTTGATATATATTCGATTATTCTTAACACTTATCGAAGCCATCTTTAACGTTTTCCTTTTATATCGCTAAATGATGATTGGGAAATAATATAAATCAATTGTTATCTTTTCTGAAAATCCGAATCGTAGTAGCGCGATAAATATCTAGCAATGAACATCTGATCAATTCAACGAATCGTTGAGAAATGCAACGAAGCGTTCGCGATAATGTATCGAGAGATCGTTGAGCGATTGATGTGCCACGAAGAAATATCGAAATTACTCGGCTGGCGAGTTGCAACGACTTTTCTCGAGACGCTCGGCCGGGCACGATGGGGGTTTGTTTCGGGATGACGGAACACGGTTCACGGACAAATCGCAACGTCGTGTCGAGATATCGGAGGAAGCTCCCGTCGGCCCGCAGGCCTTTCTCGTCTTTTCCTGACTATCGGCGACCTTAGCCCGGTGATGGATGAGAGGACGCAGACTTTGCCGACAGCGCAATACCGTATCGGAGTAAGGGCAAGACATGGACGCAACACGTGCAATTCGAAACGTTATACGTTTCCGTATATACGTTTTCACCGCGCGATATTGCCGCACCGAATGGAATGAGATAGCGGCAGGTAATACGTACGGTTGAGAAGAAAGCAGTTTGTAAATACGCGCGAAGATAAGATTTCTTTGGCGCCTATCCCGGAAGAAAAATCTTATGGCGATTACCTGTTACTTTCGAAGGCGAAAAAGGTTTC